ACCTTTGTGCTTGGGGCTGTTGCTTGGCCAGTGGGTCAAGCCCCACACCTACTGGTAGATGATCTCCTCCGATTTTGAGCGGCTAACCTATGGCTTCTTCCGCCAATTCGAGTGAAAGGCAGTAGACTTCTGAAAGAAACAGATCAAGATGGAAACACACCTTTGGCAAAGGAGAATAGTCTGACCTGGAGTTCATATTTCGATGTCTCTATTAGTTTTGGTGCTGGACTTCCACTGTTGAGTTGTTCAGGACTCACACCCCATCATAGATCTTGAAGAAATTCTGTTGCCTGATGAGGGAATTCCTTCGTTCATGAAGAGGAAATCGCTCTGAGAGAAAAGGTCCGGGGCCAACCCAGCATTGCAGCAACCACACATCAGAACTGCTAGATGATAAGGACTGTGGCTTTTGATTTGGAATAGGTTCAGAGTATTTCGCACCAAAACCAAGAGGCGTAGAAGCTTTGTACCTCTTACATGCAAGGAACATCCCCCATTTTCCATGGCAAAGACAGCTGGCTTGACCGTGAACCGTTCACGCGTTTGCAGCTTGTTCTTTAGCGAAGAGAAGCAGCACTCCGTAGAGGATATGTTGGGCAGGATGTGCTGTCCATCAACGATGCTCAAAAGAAGAGTCTACTTGTGCTGCAGGAGAGTCTATGTGGGTATTGAATGGTTTCGAGATGATGCCACAGAAATTATGAATGTATTTTCTGAACCAATGATTCAATGGATCCAGTAAAGGTTAAAGAACAAACATGATAAACAAACAGGTTACAATAGCTACTAGTAACAAGGGCATCGCTAGTAACAAGGGCAATACTACTAGTGGCTAGAAGCTACGAACGTAACAAGATGGTAAAAGAGCTCTTTTCAAAAAGTAATGGACAAAAGGTGTTCTCCTCTCTTTTCTGGTTTTCTTCCTCGCTCGCTTTTCGTGTCTGAGGTCCAGCGGCACAGGCGATGCCCGCTTCATCTCCGTCTACAAAAATCCGCCGGCAGGTGCGAAACTCGAATGGGTGAAGCTGGGCTCGCCCTGGGAGTCAAAGACTATAGAAGGAATTGATCTTTAGAGGACCTGAAAGGGAGCTTCCTTCACTTCACTAAGGAAAAGTATAGTCTTTGGACTTGTAGGTTATTATCTAGGCAGTTTTTTGCATTCCACGTACCAGGCAAACTCCAGGCAAACTTCCAGCCCTGATGTGGAGATTGCCCCTAGAGTTGACTGGACATTTCCACTTGGTGAGGAGCAACCAAGATAGGCCAGATAATACCCCAAGAGTCAGATGTGGCTGTGCGTCAGGCTACCCCAAACGAGAGACCACAGCATACAGTCTACATGATCATACAAATCCTTTTGCCTGGGAAAATCTTCTAAATGGATTCAACAAGACAGAGGTGCCCTCCGCAACCTCCAGTGGTGCACCTCCCGAAAGAACTACCGCCGAGCGCTTGTCCGTCCGAGCGGACCGAGCGATGTCGCTCGAAGGCCAAGAGGCGAAACGGCCGCGTGAGCCGCCGGGTGCCACACCGCCGCTGAGCTTGTCGCCGCCTGGAGTTCTAACAGGTTTTGGGGATTGTTCGATGTTTTTGTCCGTTGTTTTTGTTGGTTTTGACTTTCCAATTCATTTTTATTCACACCGTCTTCGCGGTCGAAGCCGCCCGCACACAGTAAAGGGAAAACATAGACACACTTAGATAAAGGCTCGCAAGAGCAGTATCAGTTGACGAAGTGGAAATGCTGGGTCGGCTCAACAGAAGGTTTAACAAAAGTGCACTAGCCCTTTAAAGGAGGTTAAACATTTTTGCAGGTACGTGGAAATGGCGTCCCATTTCCATATCCTCGGATACATCGCCAGCTTCGTTGACCAGGCGATGCTGTATCCTAACTGGTCCCCTGTGGCGTTCCTTTGGAACAGGTGTTGACACACACGCACACACACACATACAGACATAGACATCCATCCATGCATACAGACATACATACATACATACATGCAAGCAGACATCCAGACATACATGGGAAAAGTGTGTCATGAGCACCCTACCGGCTCGGCAGCAACCTGCGCTCGCGGTGTGCTCTCGGAGCCGGAAGGAATGTTAACCGGGCTCAAGCGTGAAGAAGCGTTTCGCAGTGGCCCTATCTAATCACCAGCCTTTTCACAGAGGGTTCTGTCTCGGTACGTCTGTCTCGGTCTGTCAGCCTCTGTCCCGGTCGGGCAGGACACACGGACGAGCACACCAACGTTGTCAATAGTGCAGTGTTCGCCGGGTTGCACATGCGTCCGCGATGTCGATATTGCAATCTCCCGCGGCCGGCGTAGCCGGCGTCGCCAACGTTTCGTCCAACACCATATGCACTTGGATCAATCTTCAAAAAGCCATGCAGAGCACAGCATTTCCCAAGCATGAGATGCACCCCCAGCAAAACAAAAACTTAAGATTTATCTAGCAGATTTCTTGCGGCTTGTGCGAGCCTCCACAACGCCTCGCCACCTTCGGAGCTGGCGGATTTTAAAGGTCAAGAGGGTCAGCAGGTCTTTGTGTTGTTGTTGTTGTTGATCGCAGGGAGGGAACTTCCGCGCTTGCGCGGGAGGGAGGGATGGCGACACCAAGCGAATTGGAGGAATGAGGAACGGCAGGTGGTGAATTTCTTCGGTTCTTTGGGTCTGGATGCAACTTCAAGCCGACCGATGGAGCCTCCTTTGATCACCAAGGACCATGACCTTTTCGAGAGGTTTTTGCAGTTGTTGGGCGGGAACTGGGTCTGGATGCCATGACCGGCGTGTCCAGTCATGCATATGTGAACATCTGGGAACCATCGTTCAGGATGAACTCGCAACGTCGCCTCAGATTTCCTGTGAATCCAAATTTCACGTGCCCAGACACTCCGTGTATCCAATATTCGCCTTCGTTTGGGGTGGTTGAAACATGTTGAAAAGGGATCAATGCATGTTTTCTTCTGTCCGGTGGAGTGGTTGGAATGGCGGCCACTCCGTGCTGAATCGAAAAAACTCATTGTTTTCACCTTCTGCCGTTGGTTTCCAAGGTCGGCTGCCACACAGAATCTGCAGCAGATTGTCCACAGCTCGGTCAAGGGGTGAGGGTTGAGTTGGAGGTCATGGAAAACTGTAGACCCGAAAGTTACTACCCATCAGATGACCACGACGGACGATCCGCCTCGGAAGGCTCCGTGAAGACATCCCGACCGGTCCCTGAAAGACCTAGCAGTGCTCTCCAAGGGGTGTCAATAGCTTGTTAAAGGTTAAGGATGGTTAAGGGGTGTTATGGGGTGTCAAATCATCACTCCTCTAGCCTCTAACATGCAAATATTTGGTCAGGAGACCCTTCTACCCCTCCAGTGGGTCTTCGGGTCTTGTATGGTCTGGTCGTTTTTGGTGGAGGCCCGGACGCGATTGGACATGGATTCGACAGCGACACAACCATGTCATTTTGGACGCTCCATCTCAAGATATCTACCGGGTGCCCGCTCCATCTCAAGACAGAGATCCACTGGTGATGTTCGTCTTTACAACTTGGCACTGTTCGGCTTCTGTTCAAGGTCAAGACCCACCAGAAGTGGTTGAACGCTGTCATATACCGCACCAGGCTGTGGTTGACCGCGCTGTGGGGGGGTCGTTGTGGCTCAAGCTGTCAATGGAGCTCATGGAAGGAGGAGATCTGGCTAAGGACTCCATCGCGGTTCGGAGCCGTGAGCTTAGCCAGAGTCTGGTCCGTCAGATCTCGCTTGGGATTGACTCGATTTGGAGACCACTGGATAGAACGACTCTGGTCCCTCACGAATTAGTGCTTGCAGCTTCTTTCCTTTGTTGGGCGAACCGGTGGCAGCTGCTTTTTTGGTTTTCAGCAGACTCTTCGGTTTGTGGGTCATTGGTACTACAATCTATAGGGTGTAGCCGCGTAGCCCATCTCAGTCATCTCAGTAACAGTCAGTAAAATATTATCACTATTTTAGAGACAGGTCTTACTAACAATTATCATCCACTGTTACCCAGTAACATATATATATATATATGTATAAATTATATATATATATTAGTACCCCCCCAAACCAACACTTTCAGACAAATAGGGGAGGTGGGGGTACCAACAAATCTGAATCTGCAATGTGCATGTGGCGTCTGATCAAAATGCTAAATGAAAATCCTCCTACATCTGATCAAAAAAAAATATATATATATTTAATATAAACTATAATATACTGGTGGTATAAATTTTGATTTTTTTGAGCCTGCCAGCATTTTGGCAAGGTGGGGTAGACCAAAAATTGAAAAGACACTGGCAGGCTCAACAAAAATCAAAAATGTCAAAAGGCCATAGTCACAAAACCCTGGCAGGGTCTGGGGGGTGTATAAATTTTTGATTTTTTTGAGGCTTCCATCGTTTTTGCAAGGTGGGGTAGACCAACAATTGAAAAAACACTGGCAGGCTCAAAACAAGCAAAAACTTCAAAAGGCCCTAGTCACAAAACCCTGGCAGGCTCAAACACATCAAAAAAATCAAAAGTTTTAGGATCTATGGGGGGTTTGGGGGGTGTATAATTTCTTGATATTTTTGAGGCTGCCAGCGTTTTTGCAAGGTGGGGTAGACCAACAATTGAAAAAACACTGGCAGGCTCAAAAATTTATGCACCCCCCAGAGGCCCCATAGATGCCAAAACTTTTGTATTTTTTTGATTTTTTTGAGCCTGCCAGGGTTTTGTGATTACGGGCTTTTGATTTTTTTTTTAAAGCCTGCCAGGGAATGTGAAATCTCTGCTCCATCCACCAATCCTGATGACGTTTTTTCCTCCTAGGCCCAAAGGTTGGGTAAAACTGCACGAGACCACATCAGGAGGCCAACTTCTTTTTGCCTCAAAAGAGCTGATGCTCTTTTTTTGACCAGCCCTGAAGTAGTGCCCATGCCAAAGTTTCAGACCTAAGTCTCTTTGCAAAAGTTCTCATTTTTTGCATGATTCTTCCTGGAAGGATGGTAGAAACATGGAGAAGTCCCAGGTGGTGCTGATGGTGCTTGTACTACCGTCCATTTCCCACCACTCCGCCCCACCGCTCCGCGAATTCGACTCAAAGACGTTGGCATTAGAATCCAGAGAAGTGATGCAAAGCACCGACATGGTGAAGGACATGGAAGGCCAACGTTCGAAGGAAAGAGTCAACAAGACCTTCCACATGCTTCCACATGCTTCCACAGGAGACCGACGAGCCCAATGGTTTTCTTATGTGTGTGTATATTAACATATATTCCGACGGGTTTACTTAAAACAGTGAGACGTTTGTGAAAATCACAATTTTGTTTTTTGACGGTTTTATTGTTTTTTGGGGGGAAGACGATTAGTGCAGGTTGATTGATGTGATGCAGTGACGCAGGGCTTGCTCCAATGCTAGACTCCGATAGAGCGCCACTCGATCTGTGACTAGCAGGAAAGGTCGTGATTCGGAGAACAAATTTGTGTCGAGTCCTCATTACCACCCTCAAAAAGACTTTTTCCCAGTGCGTAGAGCTTCAGGCCGTGAGATACACATGTGTGCGCAAGACAACACGCATGCGACGAACCCTCGGAAAAATGAAACAGTTCTGAAGTCTCAATTCCACCGTGTTTTATAAGAAACGACAAAAACATGGACGAAAAAGGCGCATATTTCTCGTGCCAATTTTCCCACCAAAAATGCTGTTCAAAAAAGCATGCAAATTGCAGTACATGTAAAAGTACACGTGATGCAAACACACAGATTGTGTTAAGTAAACCCGTCTGCATGTATATATAATATACATACATTTTTGTATATATATACATATATTGTTTGTCGACTCCCACCGAGCTCGCGCTTTTACGCTGGTGTCCATCCATCCATCGGTGCCACACCTCCGTCCGAGCACATCCGTCCCGCAGTCAGTACGTGCCCGGATCAGCGTGTGCCAGGACTGCCTGATCCGAGGCTTACAAGCCCACATTCGCTTCCTTCAAGACTGCCTCTTGGAGCCTGACAGCCGCGTACAGCAGGTGTGGTCTCCGAGAACTGATGAGACATGACGAGATGGAACACTGCGGAGGTGGCATGCGGGTGTCTGAAAAAGCAAGGGAGCAGCGGAACCTCTTTCCTTTTTTGCTATCTCGCTGTTGTTTGATGGTCTTTTTCGTTTCATTTTTCTCCGATATACACACAAATACACACACACCCTTCGGTTTGACGTACAAACGACGAACTGTACTGGGAATTGTTTCGGCACCAGCGCCAGGTGGAGGAGCAGCTGGAGACCGAGCGCCGGCGCAGCTGGGAATTGGAGAAGTCGTTGGAGAGAAAGGCACTCATTTGTGAGGAGACGAAGCACTCAGGGTGACCGATTCGGGCCTGAAAACGCTGGACTGTAAGGTGGACCTGCGGTGAAGAAAGGAAGGAAGGTCATTTTTGTTGACCGCAAGTTTAGCAAAGGAGATGAAGTTAATATACACTCTCTGAAACAATCATGGAATGTGGAAAACCACTGGTCATGCAAGTTCCACTTTCATGATTATTTTGAAGGAGTGTAAACTCGGTCTGTTGGATTGTTCGTTTGAGTGAGCTATAGGGTACTTTTCAATCCTTGGGCTGTTGCTTGTTCTTGTTTGGATTGACAAACTGAGAGTCTAAGGATATCCGAAGTTTGTTTTTTGTTAAAGGGCAGGGTGGCTTTTCATTGCAGAATTAAACAAAGGGGATGGCTACAACAGGGTAAATCAATGGCAATTCTGATTGGTTATTTGCGGTTGATTCAGTTGATCAAACAAGTTATGGTTCAGAGCGGGTAGAGGATTAGCTGTACTTCCAAACCTAACCGGGACCCAACCCGTCCAAATCCGAAGGATTTGGTGGCACGGCAGCAGCTGGAAACGAAGTTGGCCGCACCGATCGAGGAGAAAGGCCCAAGACGGTGCCTTCGCATCAATGAACCTAAGTGCTGGACGACCTGTGATACCCGAATCCTGCGTTTGGAAGGCATCCTGCAAATGAACTGAAGGACTTGTGCCTGAACTTTGTTTGTTTCTCATAATTTCTACCATCCAACAAACTGCTCAACTGTACTTCCATCCAACGTCGTTTGGAAGGCATATTATCCAACCTAATTACGTGCACCAACCAACATCACCTAGCGAATTGGGTCAAGCTTTAAGACCCTTTGGAAGCCAAGAAGCCAATGTTATGAGGGTCATTTTGCTGCTTTCAAGCCGATGTTATGCGGCGATTGGCTCACTGAACCCTCCGGGCCAAGGGCCAACGGGCCGCCAACGGTCGGTCGACGGTTCCGGCTGATCCGCGGCGCCAGCGGTCCAGGTCGAGCACGTGGGACGACAGCACGACGGAAGGCACGAGCACCGCCAGGTCCAATTGCACTGAAGAGGCCCGGGGTTTTTAGTTTTTCGAACAAAACCGGCAACTGGCCGTGAGTCAGAACTGGCAAGCTGCATGAGGAGGAACAAGATGAACTATCCAAGGTTTCCGGTTGTGTAATGCCCACAATCAACCTGTCCCATAATGGCTTGTGATCCAAGCCTGTTTGATCGCTTTTGTTGCTTCAGATCTGCCTTTGTAAAGACACACTCGCGATGCTGGCAGATGCATGCAGATGCACCGAACTCCCTTCTTTTTCCGCCAGGACGAGGAGGTCATTGAGGCCTTCATCTCTCAGCTGGCTCCGACCCGACCGCCGCTTCCGGCGTCGTCTGGGCCGCCGTCTCGGCCGCGGGAGACGTCGTTGGCTCGGCGTGCGCGGCGGCAGCAAGAGCGGTGCAGGAGACCGGGATCGATTGAGACAGGGAAAAGGAGGAGAGCTCAGACAGGACTGGACAAAAATTAAGCAAATATGGAGAACATGAGGAGATTAGAGATGGATTGATACTGATAGGAATGATGGAGTATGGATTTCAGAAGCCAGATGATGTTTGTCCAGATTATTTCACCCACTCGCAGAGCGAGTTTGACTCTTCCAGTAAGTCTGGCCACTTAGAGACCAGCTCAGAATTTCTTACAATTCAATCCCTTCAGAACAGCGGTTTTGGGCTGCAAGTGCAACGTGGCGAGTCTGGCGAGAAATTGTATGCTGCTGACATCGTGTTGGACATACTCCCCAAGCAAGTGAACATTGCATGCTCAGCAGACTCAGCAGTGGCCAAATGATTTGTTACTTCTGAAGAGCTGCTTGCCTCACTCTTGTTGCGACACAGAAAAGACCAGCTTCTGTAGTTTGGAGTATCCACATACATCCTTAAAAACGTCTGTTTAGGCCTTGAAAAAGTATATCTATGCCTTTACTCATGCTCCCTTTTGTTTCACCTCTCGCGCTCGCTCATGTCTCGGGCACGTCTCGCGGGTCGCCAGGACCTTGAGCCAGGACGTCTGCGCCCTTGCCGCGCTGCACCAAGCGGCGTGGTCTCGGCCGGAGGCGTTGACCCCCAGGGCCGGACGTGACCGGCCCAAAGTGATGGAACGGTAATCCCAACAGCATTGGGAATTGGGTCAGAGGTGGCTGTGAGCGAAGCAATGCGAAGCACCGTTGAGGGTGAAATGATATAGTTGGAGAATGTTGGATAGATTTGGTCCCTGTTTTTCCCGATGTTTTGGTGTTTTGATGTATATATATATATATACACATGATATCATTTGAGCCGGGTGGTGTCCAGTAACAGTCGGCAAACAGTTGTCACTATTAAAGAAAGGCTGTTACTGACCACCATCCTCCCCCTCCTCATCATCATCGTCATCATCGTGATCGTGATCGTGATCGTGATCGTGATCGTGATCGTGATCGTGATCCTCATCATCATCATCATCATCATCCACTGTTACAGGGAATGAGATCTAAGGTATCCCAACATATATGTACCATGTATGATATGGCGTACTTATTTTCAATGTATTTTGTAATATCGCACGTAAAGGTCCCCATCACATATATTATATATATGTATATATTTATACTTCGGACTGAAAGTCACCCTGCACCCTTCGACGACTGCGCATTGCGCTCACTCACGGGACCAACTCAGAAACGCCGAGCGGACGAGCTCGCGAGAGATGTGAAAACGTGAAACGAAATGACATGTAAAACGTTTACAGTTTAGATGGACCCGACCCCTTTATAGACATTTTGCGGTGCGCCATCTACTCTGAAACCACCGTAGATACATTTAGTACCTCAAGGACTTCATCGAGGTGTAAGACAGCCGAAGTTGGTTCGAGCACTTGATATAAAGGAATGCTGAGACAACATCAGACAACATCATTTGAGGATTGACCAAAGAGATGGATCCAAATAGGCTGTGCTTACGGCGATCATTGGAGTCTTGAGCTCAAACATCGGTAGCAGAGACATCAGCAACGCCTGCAATACCGATAATTGGTTTCTCCATGCACTAAAAAGCTTCAAGACCAGCAGGTCTAATTCAGGGTTTGCCCACTGGTGCCAGTGGGGCCATGGCGGTGTCTCACGAGGGTCGAGGTTTCGCTGAGCTGCTGCTTTGGGGAGAACAAAAGAGCTGGTGGGAGAGGTCTACTTGGCCTGGATGGGATTGCAGTCGCTGGGTCCACTTGGTCCCTTCAATGCCACAGATACTCCAAACCGTGGAAGCCATCGTTTTTTTTTCTTCTGCCATCGCAGGGTAGTGAGTAGTGTTGATGCAAGGGAATAGCTGTGGGAACCAGCCAACCTTCATTTGATGTTGCACAATCGGAGCAGATTGGTCTGAATAAGCTTACCGGACAGATCCAGTTTCCGATATCCGCGTGCATCCTGGGTTTACCGGAGACATCTAGCCAACCAAACATGTGCCTTATTTAAGAGATCCTGAAATTGTTGGGGTGATAGTTTGACATACAACCCCCGTCCCGACAGACAAATTGACTAGGCCTTATCTTCCAAGGGAAAGCACCATGTTCGGAACCCAAACCATCATATGAAGCGGAACTTTGGCATGATTCTGATTTCAGTCCATCCTCCCAAGTGCACGAAGTCGAATCCCCCGAGGCGGCTCGATCGCCTGGAGCAGCGGGTGGCCGAGTCTTGTTGGCCAAGGCAGGGATATTGAGCGACCGAGATCTGAGCAGGTAGGGATGAGGTGATGAAAGGAGATGAAAAGCCATGGTATTTGCAAGCCAGGTGGCATTTGGCCAGAGAATATCAAATCTGGGCGCTAGCCGTCATCCATTTGCTTCGTGTGATCAACCTGGGTCTCGTTTGCTGTCCCAGCTGCACGACCCAGCTAGAAGGCTCCAAGCCACCAGCAGTTCTATGGAGTGCCCCTTTCGCATCCACTCACTGGATGGGGACCAAACACCACCCTGACATGGAACTGCCGGAAGTTGACCTTTGGCTGCTAAAGACCTCAGGTATGGCCGATCCCGCCACACATCACGAAGAAGCGCATTTCCTACGTCATGCCGCATGCCTCCTATACGTCATAGCAGTGCCTACTGCCTGCCTACTGTGGCCCTGGCCGGGCGAGATCTCACTGGCTCCGAACACCAGGTGCGCCCCATGGGCCGGTCAAAGATGCTGCCCAAACAGCCCAGTGTGGCGGCGGCCGTCACGCCCAGCGCGGGCGATGTGGCCGGCGACTGAAGGGAGTGGCCCTTTAGAACTCGCGAGTGGACAAACGCGTTCTCTGGTAACTTGTATAGTATACTTCTATGTAATGAGGTGGAGGACGCACTGACTTTTAGAAACGCGTCTCTCATAAACGGCAATTAGGTTGCTGCACGTTTGGCCAGTGACCATGTGGAACTCTACAGTGTGAGCTGTGGGAGCAGCAGAACTTTCTGTTCACTTCCCGGTAGATTAGTCCCACAGCGGAGTCTTGACTTTTCTTCTTCTTCTAAGGTCGAGGCCTTCTGGCCAGACGACGTGGGCAAGCCCAGAAAGGGATGCCTTTCGCGACTAGACGTTGGGCGCAAGCAAACTCTTACTTGGCTGACCCATTGAAGAAAGTCTCACTGGTATCCGAGCATTCCCTGGTTTGCTTAAGGTGACTTTATTTTCCCAGTGGGTGAATCCCTTCATGTATATGTATATGCAGTTTGTCACGGGCAGCTTGTCAGGGGCAGTGGGACAATCAATTTGGAGACGTTTTACGGCCTGGCCCAAGCCATAAGATCATCAGTGGCGAATTTGCTTCCAAAATTGGCCTCCCCAACATTCAACCTCCCCATACAGTGGGTGTAACCATCCAAATCCGGTGGTCCCAAGGAATACTTCAACTCCCCACATGTTGCGACTTTCTTGGAGTTTTGCCGGCAGATTCCCCAGATCATATGTTTTGTTTGGGCGCTGGGACAAGGGAGATGACTGTTCCACGGAACCGCAAGGGCTTCACCGATGTGAAGCCCCAGATCGGTGAGGATCCGGAATGTAGAAGCGACACCGAGTCGCTGGTTGAGATTTAAGGGCCTAAGAGCGGGCGGCAGGCGTCAGGTGCTGGCCTTGTAGGGTGGAGGCGGCGTAAGCAGGGCAGGTGCAGGCGTTCTCTTTCTCTTCTCTTGCTCGTTCTCTTGCTCTTCTTCTTTCTCTTCCTTTTTCTCTTCCTCTTTCTCTGGAAGAGGAACTAAGAAGAGCAAGCAGAATTACAAAATGTTAGACTTGCAAGGCATCTCAGGAAGCATTTCTCGCACCACTGGCTTTTGAAAACGACCTCGCAGCAATCCACATATCCATGTTGAAGCTATCTTGGGGCTATGTTGATCAATTTCAAAAGAATGCCTCCATCCATGCTCTCCTAAGTGGCCTGCGAGTTTCCAGGTGCCTCCGATAGAGCAGGTCGGTGGTGGGTCAGCGGCTCGCGGCGCACTGTCCGGATGTGCCAGGACTCTTTCTCTTCATGAACTTGATAGGTGTTGACTTGATCCGCTGCGCATCCTTTGGATGCAAGCCTCCCACTGACCAAACTGACTGGCCCGAGGAGATGTGGCTCGATGCCACGATCAGCGAGGCCGGCGGCCGAACTGGGCGTGAGGGAATGAATCTTCCGAACTGGGCGGTTGGCCATAGATGGCCTGACCGGCCTGGCCTTGGTTGGTTGATTGACAGAGCGGATACTCCCAAGTGAACAAGCACATACAAGCCAATATCAACCAACTAAACACCAATAGATACCAATCGGTGTAATTAATTACAATACAAGTTCGGCCCCCCTCTGTTAATTCGGCATCACTGGTGTTGGAAGACACAACCCAAATTGCTAAGTCCAGAACTACCCACATTAGAAATCCATTTGTCTGTAGGCTCCCTTTGCTCAAACCGTTCAAGAAAAAACCGATTGCATATCGGGCATATCGTGCACCACCAAGTAACAAAAACCAACCCAGTGTCGAGGTTCTTGTCTTGTCGTGTCCTTTTCAAACCAATGGTATCCAAATCAATGGCAACACTGCTCCCCACCAGCTAAAACGAATGATGCGAATGATGCCAAGTCTGCTTGATATTTTTTGATGCAAATTATAAAAACCGAAACAACAGTCTCCACACCTTCTGCGATCCGAAAAACACACGGGTCGCTCTCCTTTGAAGCCGAAACCGACTTTGGCCGTTGCCGGCGCCAGGTCCTGGAAGACGGATCCTTCCGGATTGCCGGGGGCCGAAGTGGATCGGATCGACAGAAGTGGATCGGTAGTGAAAGGGTCGGGTGGAAAGATGCCCAATAACTCCGGTGGCCGATTTTTGGGGCCAAGATTCATGATTCCAGCAAGAGTAGATGATTAGGTGTGGGTGTCTTTTCTCTCAAGTTTGAAGTGCACATGGGGGAATGGGAAACATTCGCCAGAGCAGCGCTCTTGAACTTCTTAGCTGCTCGAATGCTCCTCCGCCCTTCAGCCCTCCTTGAGGCAGTACTCACCCAAAAAGATCGCACAAAATTTCCTCCCTCCTCCGAGTCGAGTGGAGCGGTCTTCTTAGCACGACACCCCTCGCACCAACTGGCCCGCCCGCGGTGCCCATGGCCTTGGGCTCCTGGCCTCGGTGTTCGGTTTGGTGATTGGGGCGGGTGGATTTGGGGTGGTCAGTCTTTACCTGAGGAGATGAGCCGTTCGGAGCCCATTTCCGGATCACCTTTGATCGGACCGAGGTCTGGGCCATGGATGATTCGGAGAGCGAAGTGCCTGCGGACTATGCTGTGGGCCCTGGGCGTTTTTGGGGTTCGAGCCATCACCCGCGCTCCGGAGGTCGTTTGGGGCAGTTGTGAATCGCTTTGAGGATTTCTTCACCTTGAACCTTAGACTTAGAGGCTTTTGTAATTCAATATACCCCTATAAAGTCTTCCAACACCATCTAAAACATGTTTGACCCCTTTTTCTGGTGTCTATAATCCATAGTAAAACACTGGTTGTTAGTTGCTTGGCAAGAATCATACGTTGGGCCATGAATCCTAGGCTATATGTTGGAGTGGTGAGTACGTGAGCAGAGCATCGCCAAATATATGTTCTTCTTAAGTCTCTTTGCAACTGTATTAACCATGAAGGCGGCACACCTCACCTCCGGATTGGCCAATTGGATGACAATTCCATCGATTTTCCCCAACAGAGGTGGAATACCGGACTCTTTATCCAATCGAACATGCACATGTGATGACTGCAGATTTGGTGGTTTCAGATTTCAGTACCCCCTTTCCACCGACCAAAACATTGACACACTCTTGCCAGTCACTGGGGATCGGATGATTTTGATGTTCCCATTTGGGTCAATCTCCTAAGCTGCGAAATGTGGATGTGTATTTTCAGAGGGAGACAACATGGGTCTCCACCCTGGCCCTGGGTAGATTGGTCATGATTGGTCTATTTTCCGAACCTTCCAGGGCCCCAGGGGGTCGTTGCCTGGGAGGTCTCCCTACTTTAATGCACACCGTTCGTTGTTCCGAGAGAACGTGTCTTCGAGTTTATGGTTGTTGCAACGGAACCTGGAACGATGATGTTCGATCCATGGGCAACACAGAGATGTTTTTCCTGAGACTTTTTTTTGGAGGGGAAAGCAAGAAACAACCGTCTGCACAGCTGGTTTTCCAATTAGAGCGACAGGCGACAGGCGCTTGAGAAAGACAGATCTCCCAGGTCCGGTGGCCTGGAGACCACCTCGACGAAGGCGGGTTCAAAGAGCCGTGAGAGAGTCAGCAGCGGAGGAAGGCCGAAACTGGAGGAAAACGCAGTAAACAGAGTGTGCCTGGTGAGAGAGTTGTTCCATAATATATATGTTTTTACATAATTTACACGGTATATATAATGTAATATATACTCGTTAATAAGAAGTGATGCTTCATCCGTGTGATTGGATGTTGTGGTTGGTGTCTAGGTTTAGCTCCTTGCCTAGACGAAATCCTTGCAATAGTGGGAGTGTAGGACCTCTTCTTGACAGCAACGAGTCACGAGCAAGATTGGCATGGAAAGTCAGCTTTTCTTTGCGCTTTATGCTCGGCAACATGCTCGATCCCAATCACATGAACCAGAAAAACTCGCTGCGCTGCCCTGCTGCCCTGTTCAGTTTCGAGACGTGTTAACCCGTTCAGTTCGTCAGACAAAGCAAGTCAGTTCGGACCGTCAGACCGCGGCAGTCGTCAGACCGCAGCACCTTCGACCCGTTCGACCCGACGTCGGTCGTGCCCAGCGAGCCGTGCTGAAGAGACGAGGCGTGGACCGATCGCCGCGGACGATGGCCGTCGCTGGTTCTTCTTTGCCCGGAAGGGGCGCGGAAGGAAGGGGGAAGGAGGCTCCGTTGACAGAGTCTCATTTTTAACTGCAAATCGAAATAGGTCGAAACGGGAATACGACCTTTTCCAAACAAACATCAAGTCTAGGGATCTGTCTCTTGGCTTGGACCCTACCGGTTTTTCGGATCCAAACTCCGCCCGTTTTCGTCGGTCCAAACTCCGGCTGCTGAGGAGCCCCTTCAGCCGGGTCGGTTCAAGACGACGAGTCGGCTGTGGTGGGTCGTATGAGTTGATGGGTTTTGCCTTTGGCTCACTATGGCCTTTGATGTCTGATTTCTGCCAAATCTATCCGAGTTAAGTGGTGATGCCCCCAGAAAGGGTGTATACACACACACACAGTCCTCCTTCTTATGTTTTGTGCCCTCTATATACACCATTCTTTAAACATAAGTAGAGCTGGCAAGCAGGCCCCTTTCTTTCCCCGCGTTCGTTTTGGTGTGTTTTCATTGGCCCTTCGCGTTTCACACGCCCAGTCCGTGTGACCCGCCCAACGGAGCTCGGCCGTGACCGGCCTGAGACTCTCTCGAGGTACCGATGGCCTCATCCACCTGCGATCCGTACCTGGGCGGGGATCTAGAGATGATGATCCATGGATCTAGCGAGGGTATTTGGTCTTTGAAGCTTCTCAGTAAAGCTTTCTCACTAACGACCAAAGCTTCCTTGGGAATCGTTTCACTGGGAATCGTTTCACCTGTAGTAACAAGAAGCGCTTTTTCGATCTTTTTAGTATATGTTTCTTTTGTATTTTGGCTCGGCTGCGATGCTTCGAACACACCTGAGACCTCTCACGATCATTCTCGATACATGTGCAACACAGATTGATGACTTGAGACATTTTTTTGTGGGGCCAGTCTGCACAGCTGGTTTTCCAGTTAGAGCGATAGGCATCGACCTTCAATGCTTGAGAAAGAAAGAAAGTCTGCGATGGTTTCATCTGCTCAAAAGCGGTTTGTTCATTTGGAACTTCCCCCTGCTCCCCTTGCTTCGACGATTGGGGGTCCATCCAAACCACTGATTAGTTCGCCGATGGTGCCATCTACTTTCAATCAAAAGAAACAGGGAGCCTAGTCACATCAGTGAGTTTCCGCATGCCTCTTACCAAGCAATCAGTGTCATGAATCGGTACACCCCGAACCTTGAAGACTCCATTTCCGGCACATGGATGGGCTGGCCCGGCCGTACTGTCGAGGGGATACCCCAGAAGTGAACAACCAATAGGTATATCCCAAACGCTCCGGCCCCGGCCTACATTCACCACCAAAAGCCAGCAAATGTAGGCCAAACAATTGCATACATGGAGCGTTTGGGTACCTGGCATCAACCACTCTGTAATTCTCAAGAGTTGGTTGAAACTGAACGGTCCTCTGGTTGTGCACCAAACTTGCACGAGGCTTCCAAGCTCTGAACTCATCCGAACTCTGGCGAATCGAACAAAGAAACACACCAGAGTGCAGACAAACACAACCTACACAACTTGTGCTGCTTTTCACCATGGGTGGTGGGGAGGAGATCTTTCTTGGAGTGTACCACCGGCTAGGTTAAGCCATTAAACCTCAAAACCCACCTGTGAACGTAGTAGAGGAAGCCATGTGGAACCCCTGAGCCGACCGGGTGTACGGACCCCTTCGACTCGCATCGATGCATGACCTTGAACGTCCGCCGGTGGGTTCGAGTCAGTGCAAACAGCGTGGCGCCGAGGCATTTCGACAAGCATCGCTTTGATAACTACACGGACTGGCTGGATCGTGAGACCAGGAAGAAGAACCGCGCACATGGGAGGCATGTAGGGCAGCTTGGAACAAAAGCAACAGGTTTGGATGGAAAGTATTTGTTCGGTTTCGGGGTTTGATCAAATAGGGAGATCCGCCCAAGATGCCTCCTGGCAGAACGAACAAGGGCCAAAAGACCTTTGGTAATTTTTGGTTGGGGGTCTTCCTATTACTGTAAATCCAAACACAAACAACTGGATGATTGGGATCTCCTTGGTTTGGTGTCCCACATCTCTTACACTTCGATCCCCGTGCCAACGAAGCAACCGCAAGTCTCCCTCCGACCTCTGTACGACGGTTGCACACACCTAATGTTCCCACAGGTTCCTTCGACACGATCTGCAGTTCAGATCCACATGATTCTACATGACTAGCTCCTGAAGCGGCCTTTTGAGTGGCTCAAGAATCCGGTGCCTTCATTTTCCCCCTGCAGACTGACCCTGAAGATTATCCTGTGGAAGACCATTTCCTCTACAAACCCACCGATTTTCTTTGCAGGAGAATCCTTTAACTCTTTGGACCGCCGGATTGCGCCGTCTTCCCACCGCTTCGAGGTGTTTCCGAGTTCCGAAGGCGTCCCCTACATACTTCCCATTACATGCACAAGGAATTCCTTTGGGTAGCAAAGGCAGATCCTCCGAAAAGGGGTTCTGCCTTTGTGAGGAAGCAAACTCTGAGACGTCTTAGGA